TTCAGAACTCCTAAGCTGACTACTAAGGACCCTCCAAATAAGTGTCAAATACTTATTTACTTTTGAATTTCTTTACACTGTCACATCACAAGTATGTATTGAGGCGTGAGTGCTTGAAGCAACCACTCCTGTTTTGCTGTTCACTTACCGCATTTCCTGGCTGTACCTCACTCTTTGGAACAGGCTAATACTCTATTAATTAATAGACTGCAATTTCAAAAAGAACAAGCACCTTTGAGTTAACAGCTCATTCCAGGATGAGGATTTATAAAATCAAAAGTCTGGTAAAAACCACAAGTAGTTAATGAAGAAAATTAGCTGCATATGTATTTTTGACCCAGTCCTGCAGAGTTTTTCAAAAGATCCATTATAGTTCTAGTAAAGCTATTAGATGTGAAACAGAAATTCATTGAAGAAACTTACATGACTTAGTCTATCAAACCTAATCTAACTGACAACAGAGCTCCCTTGTGGCAGCGGTCCCTCCTGGTTTTAAATTTTTGAGCTAGCTCACAGCTAACCTGGGGGTCTGACATCACCTGTATTTTCCCTGCTCTTAATCAATGCATAAGCTTCATTAACTGGGCTGATAAGGTGTTTCCATTTTGACTGGCTTTACTTGCTTCAATGCAGCCTAGACTTCTGCTGTTGTAGTGCAAGCTAGTGAAGTTCTACTAACGCCTTCTAGTTAGTAACTTTCAGCTTGTTTTTCTAGCACTTGCTTAAAAAAGTGACAACTTTTTTGTTGTGTTGTTGGCTCCGGCATCGTGTAGCAGAAGCAGCTGAACAGCTGGGCAAAAATGTAAAACTGGTGGAACGATTGGTGGAGTGGTGTGAAGCCAAGGATCACGCAGGTGTGATGGGAGAGTCCAACAGACTACTTTCTGCACTTATACGACACAGCAAATCAAAAGTAAGTTAGTGGTGAAAAAGTGTAACTCTTAGTGTAACAACTAAGAGTTACTCTGCACTTGCTATCGGTAGCCGACCCTTCAGCACACAATCCTTCTAGAGAGCCAGGTTGGGTATTCACGTGTTACATCTCCCCTGCCCAAGTCTTGACTCATTTTTGGTTTTAATGTATCCTGCAGCAGTTCAGCATGCCATATTTTCCATGTTTTAGTGATGCTATATGTGAAGAATCATTGAGCTCAGTTGTTATGAACTTGCTATATATATTTATATAAAAATGAGATCCAGAAACAGTCTGTCCCCCTGCTTTTCATATAGCATATTTCAGAGTTACAAGATTCTGACGGATCATTAGAAATCATAATTTATCCCAAATTCTAACAAAAGCTAGCTTGCACGTGGCTGAAGGTATGATGTTAAGAGAAACTCATTTGTCTGTCTCGTCACCTTCAATACCTTTCAATCAAATACCTTTACCTAAACAGTCCAAGCCTGCTGTCCTTGTTCAGAGAGTATTAGGCAGAACAAAGCCTTAGAAGGGACAAATGCATCTCCTCTGGAGACAAGCTATTTCAGGCTCAGACTTCTTCAGCGTGTTCACTGATATGAACACAGGCTGCATTACTGAGCTTAAATAGCAAGTGTGATTTGGAGAACTCAGACTGTAACAGTGACCTCTTCATTCATGCATGGTATTTACAAAGTCAAAAACATAGTGTGGGCCTGATCTATACTGAGCCTCTCCAAGAACAAGTCAACAGGCCTTATAGAGATTTAAATCTTTCCTGGTTTCTAATATTACCTCTCTCTAATACCCGTTCTCCATTTTATGTTCAGCCTCTCAAACTGATCAGGTTTCATTTCTCTGAGTTCTCATTTTTTCTACACCCACCCCACACAATCCCCAGCATGCGTGGAATGGCAAATGCCACCACAGATGCAAGATTTTATCAATATTCTCTACAGGAAAACAGAATTCAATTCTAAATATGGAGACACTACTGATAGCATGAAATAGATATTAATACAGAAGTTAACAGAATTGTCACAGGTGAATTTTTGTGTGGTTTATGTACTCATAGACGAAACTTGACTGGAAGAAGAAAACAGAGCTGAGGGGGTGGGTTTTTTTAAGCTTTTGCTGCCCTCTAGGTTTGAATATGAGTACAACTGTATGGTTCTTTACAGCATGTCAGATTTTAATTTGGCTTTTAACTTTAAAGGATTTGGAGTACTATTTACAAAGGCAACAGTAGTTTAGTTTTAGTCATTCTAAAAAAATGGAGTAGATACTTTTAATTTTAGCCACACTAGCACCAAGCCATAAAAAATTTTGATGTCGATGATGCTGACTGATTCTTAAGGCTTATACAGCCAAAATTCCACACCAATTCAAATAGGACCTAGCAGTTTCTAGATTGTCTCAAAACTACTTTGGAGTTCCACCAGAAAATCACAAATAATAAAACACATCATTGCAAGTACACTCTATAAATAATAAATATATAATTATTTTATATATATATATATATATAAATACTTAAATGCTTGCATACATTATGTCATTTAGGGGAAAAAAGGGTTTAAAATGTGTTACTCTTGAGTTATTAGGCTGCAATTTTTGGGACATAAAATGGTGAAAACATTAGGTGCAAAATCACTTTTAGAATTATAACTGAGAAGTACCTGCAGAGACTAGAAATCTTTATTCATTCTTGTCACATAAGTAAGTTGGATCAAATTTTGGACTTGAAAATAGAATCTCAGCTTTGTATTTTTGAACTGATTTAGGGGATATTTAACCCAGTCAACATTTTAATTTCTTATATACCGGGCAGCAGTATTGGCCAACAATTCATTTTAATGGTTGGCATTAGAACAGAAACCAACACATTGGTATCCCATACCTACCTTTTCCTTTCCTTTGTATTTGAAGGAAAATTCCACAATATTTAAGAGACTGATGCTCATTTTCCTGCCTATTTCTAAATATATTTTTTAAAGTACACCATTTCTGTTACATAGTGAGGTGTAATAATTGTGATCTCACCTCTCTGAACATTTTGAAGAAACTCTAAAAATGTTCTTGTGTTTCCTTATCCCAAATATGTGGCTCACTGGGTACTTTGAGCACCTCACTGTTTGTTGATTGATGGCACATCGGGAGAAGTTGAGTTACACAATATGACCTGGAAAAGAGTTAGTTATGTGTGTCTTAACTTAGTCATGGGGTTACCTGGCTTGGTTTAACACAATGTATCTTACAGTTGCAAAGTAGTAACAGATAACTTGTAGGCCTGTGTGTGTGTACATTTATGTATAAAGTGATTCTATGTGCATAAAGCCAGTGAGCGGATCCTTACCTGAAGATAACATAGCCTTCATGACAGTTTCCTTATTTAATGCAGTTTGTATGCAATACAGATTTTTTTTATCTTTCTGTTATTTATTTTAGGATGTAATTAGGACCATTGTTCAGAGTGGTGGCATCAAGCATTTAGTAACCATGGCGACCAGCGAACACGTAATAATGCAAAACGAAGCCCTCGTTGCACTGGCATTAATAGCGGCATTAGAGTTAGGTGAGTATCCCAGCAGTTCACCTGTTGCCTTTCCAGTCTGTGCCCAAGAGAAGCCATAGAGGGAGAGTTGTGTGAGTTTCTTTGGCAGTGTAGAACAGCCTTCTCCTTCCACCTGCCTTTGGGTAGCACAGCAATATGTGACGGTTCATGAAGACACTGGCAGGCTGTCATGTTGTGCAGAAAACTGGAGACTGCTGGTTCTACAGTATCTGCTCCATCCTTCTGGCAGATGTTGACATGATTTAGAAGGGCCATTCAATTTAACTTTCAGATTTTGGGCAAAACCCAAAAGAAGGCGAACGTACTTTACAGTGGAGACTATATGACCTGACCCTGTTCCTACACTGGAATGGTCACAGAATCACAGAATGTTCTGAGTTGGAAGGGACCCACAAGGATTGAGTTCAACTCTTCAGTGAAGGGCCCATACAAAGATTGTACCCACAACCTTGGCGTTATTAGGACCATGCTCTAACCAACTGGCAGAATGAAAATAAAGCTTTCACTTACCTAATTAGTAAGGGCTACAGAACACACACAGATGGATAATGTCCCCAAAATGTCTTCATTAAGTTCCACAGAAACAGGTGCAAGAGTTGCCATATGAAGGCAGAGATGATTACACGGCTTGACTTGCATTTGTAGTACCTCAGATTTCCAAACAGAAAGGTAAATGGCCAACTGAGGTTCTGTTTATCCTTGCTTATTAACTAAGATAAGGAACTAAACAAATAGCATTACTTATTTTTGCTCTTGATTTCATCTCTTGTCATCAAGTGTGTACTACAGGAATGCTCTGTTCAACTTCCAAATCACTGCCAATACATCAAGGAATTGTTTTAAATAAAAGGAAAGAGGTTCCTAGTCACATGAATCGTCTAACTCTCTTGTCTTCAGGCCTTTAAAGGCTAAGCCCCAGTTCAATACCTAATGTTTCTTAGACAGCTACAGAGGTAGTAACTCACACTGTGATCTTGAAAAGTTTTTCACAGCCTTTATAATGGACTCTGAGCTCCCTCTACCATGGAATCAAGAACTTCACAATCTGTATTTACTCAGACAAAATTTCCAAAAGCAAATTCAGGCAACGGAAGTCTTGAAAATTGAAATATTGCAAGTGTTGGCCTAAATAGCTAGAAAGCCTGGTGGCTTTTCCATCAGCTCACTGCACATTTAAGACTGGATTTTGTCATTAAACTCTGTGGCTGTCCTTTCAAGCAGTTAGGCAGCTTCACATTTCTATAGGAAGAGCTGTGATTCCTGTCATCATACCACCAATTATGTGCTTCAGTTTCATACCAGTGAGTTATGTACCACAGCACCCCTTTCACTCCAGTGAGAGATCCATGTTTCAGTAAACAGCTACACACGGAAGCATCAAAGCAAGTGGCACTTACAGACTTAAAAATTTTCACTTTATTTCAGTCACTGCTGAAAAGGATCTTGAAAATGCTCAGCTTGTTCAGATTCTACACAGACTGCTCTCAGACGACAGGAGTGCTCCAGAAATAAAATACAATTCCATGGTGCTGATCTGTGCTCTTATAGGATCTGGTGAGTATTCAGGAGAGGCTGCTTCCTGAGATTTATGGATGCAAACTTAGTTCCCTCCTACAGCCTGAACATAGAGCAAATGCAAACACACTGAAACTGGTTTTCTGTTCGCAATGGATGTACACAGAAAGGTTCAATTTACTATGACACTTTCTTGATAGCATTTATAGTGTCAAGGAAGGGGCTGTTAAGTCAGTTTGGAATATTAACTGTAGAAATCAGACTCTGGCTTCTGCAGGGTGCAGCTAGCTCAAACTTTGACAGGAAAGAAATGACAGTATCAGGTTGTCTTTGCAAATATGAAGGTTAGCAAGAACTTTATTTTCATCTTAAGCTGCAAGTTCCCTATAACTGATGTGCGATGGTGGTTTAGGAAGGATCCTTACACTTACCTCACTAGGAAGAGTCCTTCCCTCAGCAGCCCTCATGTGCTCAGCCCACCAGCCACAACTGTTTAGGTTGCTTTGAAAGATGAGCAGGACATGCATTAACACATGTCAGTGCTGGACGCTGCAAACTCTCATCTCTCTGAGCTCACCCTCTGCTAAAGGTCAGGCTGTTTTCAGGGTGGTGTAGCAGGCTGTGGTTTGATACTGCAACTTCCTGTGTGTGGGCAAACAAACAAACAAAACAAACCACAAAACAAAAAGAGCAAGGTGTCATTGAGGGGAAAATTTGATTCCCAGCTGAGGTTTCAAGAAGTTGCTACATTTCTTTAATTTGTTTTTTTAAGAAGTATTTAGTCTGTGGAAGGAGAACTAATTTCATTCCATAAAGGTTTCAGGCATTTACAGACAACTAAGATGGCAACTGGATTAAGTACAGAAAGGTGTAAACTCAGAGTCTATCTGCACACAACTTGCCAAGTGTGAAATATTTGGGGTTTTCTAGAGATGAATTCAGATGAATTTACAGCAATTCAGTTTAATTGATTAAATTTTACCATAGCTAAGCATGTTCTGTCTCTGTAAACAGAGGTGCTTTTTTTCTTAAACAGAGCTATTGCCTACTGCAAGTGTAATTCGGGTGACTTGTACATCCATGCACGTGAATGCTGTATTACTGCCATCTTATAGGAACAAATACTTGGGTTTAGAGAGTATACACATCTCGGTGTGCAAAGGTTGTGCTCTAAATCTGCTAACCAGGCTCAGCTGCCAGTAAGCATTCATTTTAACGTTAAGGCATGTAAATTTAGTTGTTACTCACAACCTTCTAGAGCCATTTCATGGTTTGGATTATCCATCCATTGTAGAGCAGAATTCTTCTGGCAAAGGTTCCCACTCAGCCTCACTGTGATGTTCTTGTGTATATTCCTACCTCCTTCCAACTAAAATATTCATCTTCAGAAATTCCACCTGACAGTTGCGTTTTCCCTTCCTTGAGTCTTGTCACCTGCAAGACTGACAGTTATTTAAAGTCAAACACTGGTCTCTCTAGTCCACCAGAGAATGGATCAGTCCTATCTTAGGGGAGGTTCTTTAGGATTATCTGACTGGCAGAGTTCAGTCTGCCACCACACTGTAAGCTCTGCCTAGACATGAGGCTCCTTACCCTGCTTCCAGCGAACAGACAGCACATTACTGAATTATGCAGCTGTGAAGTTTAGGCCTAGCACTTGACTGACCCAGTGTTCTGCCCTGCTTCCTGACGAACAGACCTATGTAAAATCAGTGAGAACACAAGAATAGCAACTGAGCAAATTAACTTTTAACTTTTTTTTTTTTTTTTTACTATTTTAACCAAGGAGGGGAGGATCAAAGAGCCAAATGTCCTTTACATGGGAAAATACTAAAGTACACCTCTCTCCCAGTTCTGTTGACTCTAAACTTTTCATCACTGTCTCCACGCAGTGAGCATTTACATGTTCTGTATTCTACTGTAAACAGACCTGGGTAGTCATTTTAAAGTAATAGACCCCAGTATAGTTTCATAAAGACTATAAGCGGTTCTACTGGTTTAATTATTGGTAAGTTTAATTCTCCAGTGACTGCTGTTGTTACTGTGCTTTGTTACAGGATATCTGGCATCACATTTAACTTGATATTGCCAACAACTGTATTCACGGGATCACAGAATGGGTCAGGTTGGAAGGGACCACAGTGGGTCATCTGCTCCAACCTCCCTGCTCAAGCAGGGTCACCCTAGAGCACATGGCACAGCATTGCATCCAGACCGTTCTTGAATATCTCCAGTGAGGGAGACTCACAACCTCTCTGGGCAACCTGTTCGGGTGCTCGGTCACCCACACAGTAAAGAAGTTCTTCCCCATATTCAGGTGGAACTTCCTGTGCATCAGTTTCTGCCCATTGCCTCTTGTCCTATTGCTTGGCACCATCAGGAAGTGCCTGGCTCCATCCTCTTGCCACTGTCTCTTCAGATAATTATATATATATTCAGGAGGTCCTCTCTCAGTCGCCTCTTCCCAGCTCCCTCAGCCTTTTCTCATAAGAGAGACGCTCCCATCCCTTAAGCATCTTTGTTGCCCTCTCCTGGACCTGCACCAGGAACTCCTTGTCCCCCTTGTACTGAGGAGCCCAGAACTGGACACAGCATTCCAGATGTGGCCTCACCAGGGCTGAGTAGAGGGGCAGTATCACCTCCCTTGACCTGCTGGTAATGCTCTTCCTAATGCATCCCAGGATACCATTGGCCTTCTTGCCCACCAGGGCAAACAGCTGGCTCATGGACAGCTTGTTACCCATGACCCACAGGTCATTCTCCACAGAGCTGCTTTCCAGCAGGTCAGCCCCCAGCATGGTGCAGGGGGTAATTCTTCCCCAGGTGCAGGACCCTGCTTTCGCCTTTGTTGAACTTCATTGAGTGTTAAGCAGTAAATAGATATCAATTTGTATGTGATTCTTGCCATCTGGAAGTTTCTCTTGCAACTGAGTGAATGGTTAGAGAAAGAAAAATGAGGATAATGGAAAACGGAAGAATCATCAAAAGCAGAGCATTTGTAGATAGCACAGTCACTTCTGTGTGCGAGAGTCTCTGGGAACCTGGATGTTATCAGCCGCTGTAAAGCACAGTAAAATGCCTGCATAAACATGTTGATATCTCAGGAGAAAGAAGAAAGTGCTTACATGGCATAATCACCCCAACAGCTTCACTGACATCACTCTGATGACATCACGTACAGGTTCCCAGGTACACAGCAGCATGAGAGTTCCCAGCTCTGACATGGTGGGGGTTAAACTGTGTGAAAACTAAAAATATGTGAACAAGAAAGAAGGTAGAGATGGGAACAAATGCAAAGTCTGCTATTTAAAAAGAAAAAAAGAAGTAAATAGCCACAGCTACAGCGTAGCTATCTGAAGCAGGTTTGGTTGGGTTTTCTCCTGGGAAATTCAGAGATCAGGACCAGAGCAGCATGTGGAAAGCAAAAATACATGTAGGCATTTGTTGCTGAGTGGGATTTCATGCCTGAACAGAGCATGAAACAAAACCAACTGCTTTGGATCAAAATTGTGAGATTTTTAGAGTATGGGGCTTTGATTTTATGAGTTGCTCACAACCTCTTCTTATTAAAGTACCATGCAATCCAGGATCAGACTTATCAGAGTGTCTCTTAGTTTTGAGTAAAACATGAGCAGTGTATCCATATGCACAGCACTGGGCAATGCTCCATGCATTGTGTTTGCATTAACTTCAGAGCTGAGCTGTGAATGGACAGCAAACAGTGACCAGGTCATGACACATCCATTAAAGACATCAATCCCCACACAACCAGTAAGAGCTGGTACACACAAACAAGGCAGTGAGCCTGTCAAGGCTGAGACCTCACTTGGTCAGGCTGGTTTAAGGAATAAAGTGAAAAAATGTTTTCAGTAAAAATACTTCCAAAGCCTCTGTTTTAGAAGGCAGTCCAGGTGGATGTTCTGAACTGCTGTTCAGCAGTTTCATCACTGATAATTACCTGAAATCCATGGAGTTTGTGCATGCCCCAGGCCCTGAAGAGTTTTCTCATTCCTCAAAAGCAATTCAAAAAAGTAAATAACCAGATTATGTGTACACACAGAGCTGTGTGCTTATGTGTGTACAGGGTTCAGTAGAAAAGTTGCTCACATTTTCTGCTCTTCTTTCCGTCTCATACAAAGCACTGTTTAATATTTCCTTTTCCAGAGCCTCTTCAAAAGGAAGTGCAGAGCATGGCGTTTCTAGAAGTCATATCAAAACTCCGCAGCCATGAGAACAAAACTGTTGCCCAGCAGGCCTCGCTAACAGAGCAGAGACTTGCTGTAGAAAGCTGAGGAAGGTCTTGTTTCCAGTGCATCCCATCACAGATTCCTCCTTTGTCCTCCGTCCTGCTGCCACTCCTGCTATGTTTTCCACTGTATCACTCGTGCATGCGTGTAACGTTCCCACACAAATTGATGAACTGCTGTAGGTACCCGTCCAAAAAGGTTTCTACAAATTCATAGGTGGTGTTAACATGAACCTGTCTCCACCCGTAACTGTTCTACTTGTATTCTTGTTGCTTGGGCCACACAGTAGAATGTGCATGTTGTAGTCCAATGATGATGTAGAAGTGGTACTACACAACTGACTCTTTCCTCACGCCCCTTAACTGCATAACAATGTACTACTAAATTAGGGACAATACGAGATGCAGCAAGTCCAGACTAGTGTGCTGACTATAGGATTAAGAAGTAAATCTAGCTCAAATTTTGGTGCTTTGGAGATTCAGGTTTGAATGCAATGTACTGCTGCTCATTCACTGGTCTTGCCTATTAATGTCAAACTCGTGGTACCTAGAGGTAACAAATAAAAATTTCAGTGCTCTCACTTTACTCTGTGGTTTATCCTCTTTTGTAATCTCATGCAGAAGCTGCGACTGCACTACTGTGCACTGGCAAGGAGTTGGTTTTGTTCCTGGCTCTGGCCCGACGCATTCACTCCCTTGCAGCTGAGCGGATACAAAAGAAACTATTCCAACCACTTTTGCTGTGTGTGCTCACACAGAGGCACTGTGTGGTGTAACAATCATGCATTTGAGCAGCAGTGCGTGATACAATCCTTATCCTATAAAGCCATGTGCGTACAAGTGCTCTTGGGCTTGCTTGGGATTGCTTTTTTGTTTACTAGGGGGGGTTTTTGTAGATGGAATTTTAAGGGCATATCTTGCAGCAGTTTCTCAACAGAAGCCCATCAAGTGAGAAATGGAGGATGCAAGACACTTCCTTTTTCTCCTTTCCTAGGTAAGGGAGATGGAAACTGCCAGTCTGAGCATCGTATCTCACAGCTGCTCCTTTGTAGGTTTGTAACATGCCTGTGAGCAAATCAGCAGACACCACTTTGGCAAAACAATGAGCAGTTGCGAGTTTCCAGCAAGCCAGCAGATGTTATTTTGGACTATGCGATACCATTACCTAGCTTGATCAAGCCCACCATGCATGAAGGTCGTAAGATCTATAACATTTTAAAGTGAATTCAGCATTTCCAGAGCTGAAGTGCCAGCCTTGGAAGTTTCAGGTTCCTTTTTTATCATCAGAGGCAGCAAACCCAAAGTTCAATCACCCATGAGATCCCTGTGCCAGGTAATTGAAAAAACGCAGCAGATGCTACAGGAGTTTTCACACTGCAGAGATTCCACATCCATTTAATCATTTAATCCAGTGCCAGAAACATCCAGAAAAAGCCTCTAATACCAAGCTGTACAACAACAACAGAAAAAAACAAACCCACGTATTCAAAAAGGCATTTGCTAGCAATAGTGCAGTAAAGCCACTGACAGAGTGCAGAGCTGTGAACAGAGTGCAGGACCCTGTGACATCAGGCTTCAAACAACACAGAACCTCTGCACTGCTGCTGAACATAACCAGCATGTTTACAGTCACGGGTCATAGGCCCTCACAAGCCCAAGTTTTGTCAGGCACAGAAACTGACTTAAACAGATCCCAAAATATATTTGAAAGGCCAGTTATCAGTGACCTACCTGGTTCTAGAAAGAGACCATTCTTTTGACATTGGCATAAACTGCAAGTGCTCATACGAGCTGTAGCGGACAAAGTTGTGACACTGACAAAATTCCCATTTGCCTGGTTGTCTGACGGTAGCTGTGGTTAAGCATTAGCCATATTCTGATCATCAAAGCAAGGATACCACTGTCATAGCAAGCATAAGCACAGGCCAATGGTGATACCTTACTTTCAGATGGTTTCCCTGGATGGAACATCAAATGACTTACATTCCTAGATAAAATCTGTGCTAAGTCTAAGAAGGAAAGGCTGCATAAGGATGAAGATGGGTATATGTCACAGTAGAAGGAGGTAATTGAGGAGACTCTATCTGGCCACACAAACTCTGCACTGTCCTGAGGCATCCTGCAGCCTGCAGGTCATTTCTATGTAGCTGGTAAATCATTTATCCTCTGAGCACCTTCAAAACCAGAAATGGGATTTAAGGATGTTACTATCGCATGTATTTCGCTACTCACTTGACTGGAGGCAACTTAAGTGAAACTGCTGACAATAATTCCAATTAGATGTTTACTAATAGATTACATCTCAGCAAAGCTTGACATCTGCTGCTCAGACTGTTTTTAGGATGGCAATGCTGGACATGGGGCCTTTTCTTCTGTCTTACTACCACCGTAAACCAAGCTAAAGCATCTCTGTGGCCACACGACACAGGGCAGGCAGTGCCTGCCTCGTGTATTACACCTGTCTGCATCTCTAGGAAGTTTGCAAGACCTAGCATCACACCAGCCAGGAAGATAAAAAAACATCTGTATGTTTTTACATTTCACAATGTCCTTATTACAAGGAGAATTTTCACTTTGGGTAAGACACAAATCCCAACAATATGGATCCTTGGATCCAGAGCACCCACTTCAATCTGGATGTAGAGACCTTCTTTCAAATCAGTCATGGTGGTGTTCTGTGTACAAAATCTACAGTTTTTGAAATACTTTTTTTAAAAAAAAAAAAAGGGCTGCTTCCTTCTTTGTCCAAAGAAGCATAAGACATCATTACCCATTTTTACCTGCACAAAAAAAAATAAGCCAGCTCTCACTACTTCTGTTTAAGGACATGTTGCATGTAGACAAATAAAATTCCCACCTCCCTTTCAAAAGTTTAAGTTGTGACAAATCTCCTCTGTGCTGTTTCTTGCAAAGCAGCAACTTATGAACACTTCAGGGTCACCAAAATGATTCTGGGGAGAGAGCAGTCACTGCAGCTTGAGGAACACCAACGACCTGTTGGAAAGAAGCAGGGCATGTTCATTAGCCAGAGACTTTAACAAGAGCTGACAGCAGATACAGGATCTCTTCAAGTGAGGACATGCTCTTCACATATTAGCTTATCATTAATTTAAGGGCAGCCACTTGTGGTGTGATAATGTGTTTTGTGACTTAATTAGAATACAGTATTCTGCACCGTAGATGAGAGACTTGGGGATTTATTTCCACTGTTACTTTGGAGGACGGAGGTAGGGGGTCTTTTCCTGGAGGGATTTTGCATGAATGTATTGTATTAAGTGCTACATCAAGAGTACACATTCACAACATCATATTTCACACAGTTTTATTTATAAAATTGTAATTATCTAACAAATTGCATATAAAATGATTTACTTCAAGTAAATACAGAATACTGCACGACTATTAAAACTATTGTATTGTCCATCATAAGTGTATTAAAACATTCCTAAAAAATGCCTCTATTAAAAAACAAAAACCCAAGAACACAAGTAGCATGACCAAGACCACTTTCAATAGCTTAAAATGAATTACCAGGAAGTTGCATTAACTTCCTAAGTAGACTCCAGTTACATCCATTGAGATCAGCATGTGATACAATACCACAGTCTAATGCTAAAGATGACAAGTAATACATTATGCACCTGATCTATGCTTTTCTCCTAGACTGAAGGGAACCAATCCAAAATCAGAAAACTAAAGCTCAAGTCAAACTCTACTGGGCATGCAGTTCTGTTATAGCAATACTTTCAATCGGTAAGTGTAGTTGGCTTTTACAATCAATTTTACAACTGATAAAAAAAGGAACACAAGAGAGTACATTCATATAAAAAGGAATGATACACAAAGGGTAAATATCAACACCTTGCTGTACACCTTAGGATGAACCAGAAAAAGAGATTCAGCCGGAACTAATCTGGAATACACGTATCAGAAATGGGTCTGAGTCACAAAACCCAAATCCCAATCTCCCCAGAGCTCAAGGTGGTATTCAGGTCCATCTCTACTATGTACACAGCGTGAACATGAACACATGTAGGCATAGAGCTTTTTATTAACACACTTATATTGCCAAAACACAAAAGACAGCTAGCAGTGCTGCCTGGTGCACGCTAGTAGTCACAAACACTTCTTTGTATCCTGCATGTTAAGGGAGACTGATTTTTTTATTTCTTCAAGTGGCAAAATTTGGTAGCTAATGGATCAGGGTAGTATTGTTTTGTTTGCTTTAGACAGTTTCATCACCTATTATAGGTATCTGAAAAAGATTCAGAAAGAAAACAAAAATGGGAGGGAGGAACTTGAATCTTCAGGAGTACCTGACACCTCTTAAAGTCTAATTTCCTTCCTAGGTATTTGCAGAACTGCCATTTCAATGCACCAAAAGGCACACACAGCAAGAAAGGAAACAGAATCAAAAACTCACACAATAGTTTCTCTTGTTACCAACCATATTAATCAGAACCAATTTTACCAAGGGCAACTCTAAAGTAGTAAAAACACAGATTGACGTCCAGGACAGTTCTTATAGCACCATGTTTAGTCCCGCCACAAAGGGATGGCAACCTCCCATAACTGGAGGTGCTGACACCACCCTCCACTTTACAGTCTAATGCTGTTCTAATGCCAAGCAGCAAAGGGAAAAGGCAAAGGAGGTCCTGCCATTGCCCAGAGCCCGAAAGGGTGGCCAGGGCTCCATCTTTCTGAGGTGCTGCCACCTGCCTGCCCGCTGGGCAGACACGCAAGTGCAGGCAGCTGAGGTGCTCAGGCCGCACCCCTGGTGTGAGGGACAGCCTGGACCACCACACAGGACTCACCAGCAAACTCTCACGGTGGACACCTTTCCTATCCACAATAAACACTTTCAGGGTGAAAAGCAGTCATGTGCAAGAATCATTTAATCTGCATGCTACTATTTACATTTCAAACACTATTTACAC